TGAATATATTAAAACCCACCAAATGGTGTACTTTAAAAATGTGTGTTGAATTATATCTCCAGAAAAAAAAAAAAAACCAAAAACTGAAGGGAGAGATAAAAGGAAAGTCACCTTGGATTGTTTATGTTTGATGTAGAATTAAATTCTATCAGTTACTGATTGTACATATCTTAATTCTCTTCCTAGATTATAAATCACTAGGAACAAGACTTTCACACCCAGCCCTTTCCTTCATTTTACTAGGGTTTTCTTTGCATAGTAAATTCTCAGTCAATTTCACTGAAATTTACCTTAGACAGATGTGATTGCACCTGTGTGCCATCTACGTTCTGATGAACTTTTGCTGTGTTCAGTGTGCCCAAAATGCTACACAGGTTAACCTAGCCAGGGCATATTTGACACAGAGTAGTTTGACACACATGTTATGTCATTACACTGGGAAATGCTGTAAAGTGAGCAGACAAATAGGGAAAAAATGCATACAAGAACAGTTTCAGAAACAAGCAAGAAAGCCAAGTTAGGAAACCAAACAAAACTTTTTCCACCAAACTTTGAGCTAGAAAAAAAATTTTAAGTAGCAAGAATCCAACAAATATTTAAGCCACAAAACTATTGTAGTGTGCGTATATAATGTCAAAATATGTGGCGGAACAGCTTGTCACATCTCAGCTTGCTGCCAAACACCAACTGCTTAGCATTTTGAGCTCTGATATTTGGCGTGGAACGAGCTAATGAGGTTGCTCTTTAAGAATAAACTTTCATTGTGGATTTTGGAAGCTTCTAGAAGGGTGGGAGAGGTATAAAAGCCAGGCTTAAAACAAAGAAGCAAAGGCATCTCATCCCTGGGGGGACAGGATTTGTAGGAAAACAGAAAAACACTTTAAAGAAATTAAAAATATTCCCCAAAATTAATATGAAAAGAGCACTAAATGTTCTTTCATTGCTGAAGGTTGTATTAAAAAAAACCCAAAAAAACAAAAAACCTCACTTTATCTAATTGTGACCCAGAAGGAAATACTTCTTTTGTTTTTAGCAAATTAAAATAACTGATTTAACTGTGGCTATGGCAAGGGATCTGAAAAACAGAAAACATTCCTCCAACTTTATTTTTATTAGTTTTATTTTAGGAGTTTTATTTAATCAGATTTTGCAAAGCAGTTGAAGTTCCCCACGAAACACACAAGGAAAATGAGCCGTGACAAGTGAGGCTACTTGGTGGCACCTGAAGGGACAAATCCGCAGTATGGTGGGTTTTTTGTTTTAATTCTGGTATATGGCCCCAGCCTCCCAGAAATCTCTCTGAAACACACAAGGAAAATGAGCCGTGACAAGTGAGGCTACTTGGTGGCACCTGAAGGGACAAATCTGCAGTATGGTGGGTTTTTTGTTTTAATTCTGGTATATGGCCCCAGCCTCCCAGAAATCTCTCTCTCTCTGAGTGAACTGTTACCAGGATCCCCTGGACTTGCACAGAAAGGATTCTCCTGACCTCCTGAAAGCATCAAGACCATGTGGGTCTTTTGAGGTCAGAGTTCAGAACTGATGCTGGCCCACAGTCAAATCTGTTTTGGAGTCAGCTCTGCAATGGGCTAGAATCAACTGGGGTGCATCCTCACTCCACTGTAGCCATGCTGCAATGCCAGGTGCACAGGGAAAGGAAGCAGAAGGCGATGGATGACCGGAATAGCCTTGACCAACTACAGTTCAGTCTATGCCAGCCTGCTGTGGCCCTGCTGGGGTGTAAACAGTCATTAAGATGGTTAGGTCTGGGAGCAGCGCCACATCACACGGGAGAGACTTAAGGACAAACACATGAGGTTTAAAAGAAATAGCAGAAAATGATGGACATGAACAATTACTGGTCCAAGCTGAGTAATTTCAACACTCGGCCTTTGTCCCCTGCTCGGGGTGGTCATGAAGAGAGGCTCCTGATGGTTGTCACCTCAGAAGTGGAGAAATAGCACAGGAAAGAAAGAGACTTCGTTCTATGAGAAAATGGCCATTCTCCAAGGAATGCCCGATTAGAGAATATAAGACTCGGGAATGAGAGATGAAATATCACTGCCATACTAAGCACACAGCCCACCTCCAGGGATCTGAGCAAAAGCAACACTTAAAAACAAGCACCAAAACTGAAGCTCTGCACCCCCTGCCAGCTCCCATTACCTTCTGCGACACACTGCCTGCCGTTCCCTGTGTAGCCGGCCACGCAGCTGCAGCAGAAGCCGGTGGTGTAGTCCGTGCACTCGGCGTGCACCGAGCACTGGTGTCTGTTGTTGGCACACGTCTGGCGGGCATCCGTGTTGTAGCTGAAAACTGTTCAGAAGACATGGCACACCTGTGAGCGTTTGCACGGTTTGGCCTGGGAGGTGTCCCCGAGCCCTGCAGGGACTCACATCTGCCCAGGCAATTCAGGGGACCAGAGGCACTACAGAAGCTTAGCACCTGCTACATGTAGCTACTGAAATTGTAATCTGCCTCCATTATTCAAACCACTGAGGCAAACAGGTCTAAAAGGAGTTGAGAAAGCACCAGGGTGGATTATTAAAACATGCTATGACACAGCATATACAGTGTCACTGAATCAACATTAGGTTACTGTCACCCAGTATCAATCTTAGGATGGTGTCCATTGAAGGTAATCAGAAGGGTCAGCTTCCCCTTAAAATATATACATTTTTACTATTTATATATATCATAAATATATATATATATTTCATGTATATATCAAATTATATACAACATAAAAATTTCCATTTTAACTCTCTTAAAATATTAACTACCTTAAAATATTTCCCCCAAGGAATAATTCAGAAGCTCTTACACTCAAAGGCCAATCGGAAATAATCCCTCAGTCACATCTGGTCTAAAAAGACTTTGACCCAAGAAACAAAATGAATTTCTTTTTATTTTAAATTTCTAACTCCAAAGTTCATTTCATTAGAATCATGAGCTAGCTCATTAAATTGAATAATCCAGAGCAAACTGATTTGGAATGAAGTTCAACAGCACAAGAGGGGTGAACTTTTAGAGGGGATAATGATTGCATTTATAATGGACTATATACATACTTGGAAGGGAATTTCCAGTGTGTATAAAGACAGTGTTCGGAGCCAAGAACATGTGGGCCCTGAGCTGAATACATGTGACGCTGATCACTTAAACCTAGCTACGGGTCTGGCTCTCAGTGGGTCCGCCATGGCCTGTGTATCCGTGGGTGACTGTTCAAATAACAACAGGAATGCACTGCTGGCCAGCGAAGACTGACCTTCCTAATAAACACAGGGAAATAACTGGGCTAGAGGGACAGAAAAACATCTGTTCTAAACACACTTTGGGTTCAAATCTAGGCTTTTCTCAGTATTATGTAACATACTGCCGTAAGTTGTTGGGGCCAGAAATGGCTTCATTCAAATGTGATGGTTTCAAAAATGAGAATTCCAGAGATGCCTAGATAGGGTGGAAACGGGAGGACTCAAAACTAAACATCTGCAAGTAAACACACCCGACACATCTGGGGAGATCACTCGGAAACCAGCTGCAGGAGCAGGGTGCTATGTGCTCAGGGGTTTCGGCATCACACCAGGAATCTGGGGTGCAGTGTGTGTAGGGGGAGCCCAAGACGTGAACCCACGTCCTCGTCCTGCCATCAAATGGCAACGTCTCCATTTCTGAGCCCCCAAAGTAAGTGAACACACTACCCAGTAGGCAGCCTCACATCCCTGCTGTGGAAAACTCAGTAAGAACAAACATTTCGGACTATTGCTGGGAACAAGTCAGGAGAAATCAAAATGCTGAGTGAATAATGCGGATTGTGCTAGACTTTTCTAAGGGTTTTAGGATAACTTCTTAGTACAAGTACGAAAGAGTCACAGTAAACATATTTAAAGGCCTGGACCATCCCATTTGTATGAATCTTAAGGGATTATACATCAACCAAAAGAGAAAAAAAAAATAATGAACACAGTCTAGTTGAAACATCTCATAAGACAAAGCACGTTGGGGTTCAGACTGTTTTCTCTCAAAATATTGCACAAATCTGACATAATATGGTTGCCTAGAAGATACTATATGGTAAAACTATCTTTTAAAAAGGGGGATCTACTTATTCTGTATTTTTTAATCTTCACAAACCAACTCTGAAACTGGCAGGATTGGGAGAAAAAAAATAATCAACCCTTCTAATTCCAAAACCAGGAGGAAACAAATATCAAAGGTTAGCCGCATAAAATTGCCAAAAGAACTTCTGAAATGTTTTTTCAGGTGGGTGAATAGATTCCTGATCTCAGAAGTCACAAGTAAGAAAATCTGACTTTCAAAACAATTCTAAAGCACGTTTCTCTTTAAAATAAACAGAAGAGAATTCAGGAAACTTGAAAGAGGACACACTCGACAGTCGCTGTCACCTCAGTCCTAATCCCAAAAGATCACGGGGCATCTCTGAAGCCACTGGGTCTACACACCCGTGCTGTACAGCTGGGACAGTTCAGTCCTCCCCCAAGCTGTCATCCTTACAAGCCACCCCAATGCATGCAACTGACACCCTCCAGCGCTACTGCCATCTGGAAACCCCAGTGTCCCCAGCTGCAACTTAAATGGTCTTACCAACTCCTGTTTCCTCCACTTCGTCCACATCTATGACCTGTGGGGGCTGCTGGGGGAACTTCTCCACGGGCAATTGGAAAGACCTTGTCCTCTCTGTGGGAGGTTCAGGGGGTCTCTCGGTGGCCGTGCGGCGTGGGGAGAGGACACGGGGCACTTTGTATGTGTCAGTGTCTCCTCTTCTGGGAGCCTCATGGGGGAAGGGTGTGGTGCCCATGTCCTCCAGGCCCAGATGAGGAGTCACCAGGTCATAATCTTCGTCCTCGTCATCATAGTCTGCTCCATTGTCAGGTTCGAAGTTCACGTCCGCGGGCAGCACACCGTTGGTCGTGGCTGGACTCCCAATCTCAAACACCCAGATGCCCTGTTGCCCGGAGTTGCTGCTCCTAGAGGGGAGGACAGGCTTCTTGGAAACAGGCTGGCAACCCTTGAGAGCCCCCACTAACCACGCAGAAGGAATCCTGGGGATTCATGTTGATCTGAAACCTATCGCCTGCTTCCTCCTGCAGCAGGGGATGGAGCACCAGCCTCTGTCACGTCTGGTCATTGCAGAGCTGAGACAGTCCGGGGCTATTCAGTGAGTTTGTCCCAATGGGCACAACACTAGCAGAGGTCCCCCCAAGCCATTCCAGAGGTGCAATTCAGGGATTAAAAAGTGACCTACCCATACTAGT